CGTCTGATACCAGACTAACACCACATCTCCCTCGTCTGATACCAGACTAACATCACATCTCCCTCGTCTGATACCAGACTAACATCACATCTCCCTCGTCTGATACCAGACTAACATCACATCTCCCTCGTCTGATGCCAGACTAACACCACATATCCCTCGTCTGATACCAGACTAACACCACATCTCCCTCGTCTGATACCAGACTAACACCACATCTCCCTTGTCTGATACTGTCTCGCTAGAGTTGAAGACAACTTGTGAACAGACGCAGAGAGAACACAATGAAAGGAAATGTATAACAAAAAAGAGACTAACCAAATTAGCAAAAGAGGGAATGTATATACTTCTTAAATTTTACCGATCAATCTCCCACCCCTCTCCCCCCATCTGCAAATTTTGCCGACAGCATTCCCGCCCCCACCATGATCTGTAAGTTTACCGCTGGCGTCCCGCACTTTGATTAGCATATTATTGATGTTCCATCCCTTTATATTCACTCTCGTTTCTCTTTCGGCTCCAAAAATATCTCCATTGCTCCCCTACCCATGTCAGCCTAGGCCCCCCCGGAGAAGTCTTTCCAGTCTCCCGCACGAAATGCTGGGCGCTCTGGGGAGCCACACATGCTTCTAACTGGGGAGAGATGAACCGTATGAATAACGCTTCTACTCTGAGGATATTTCTGACTTGTACATGGTTTGCACAAGGTTTTCTATGGACCTACAGAGAGGAACATGATGACACAGGCAGGTAACGCAATTCGACTGTGCAAGTGTGCTCTTATCGCTAGGCATTATAGCAAAATGTCTACGCTACTTAAAAATCAGTTTTATTTATTTACGGTGTATTTATTTACAGAGGCCATTGTTTGGAAAATAAAATTGTCACAACCAAATACCCCTGCTTGAAATCAACTGTAGAGGTGACAATGTGTTACAAGTAGTGATATTTTCCCCTTCGATATGTAGTCATGGTTATATGTTTAAAATTGTAAATTCATACAAAGCAAATGTGTTCTAAATGACCATTAAATGTAGGCCTATTTTTTTTCAAAAGCAAATTTTTGTAGGCCTACACATATGAGCCACGCCTGAAACATGTGAAATGAAACTGTCACTTATGCATAAAATTAATTCTTTAAAATATTCCACTAGTGCAGCTGTCATTATTATATTAACATATTATCATTGCAAAACTGGTACCGTTCAATTCATTACACATACACTGTCATGTGTGTGACCCATCTGTAACGCCTGTTCACTGGGAGGTTGGCCCAAGGCTCTTTATTATCTTTTCTAAGCGTTACGTTTTTGCTCATGGCTGCATCATTAAGGGATAGAGAATGTAAATTTCTGAGTGAAACTTTTACAAACCCATACAGATTTTTATGTCTGTCCTGTTTCCATGATTTCAGAGTTTTAGACTTATGAATTTGAGTGTACTTTGTTTCCTGAAGATTTGCACTTGTTTTTCAGTCTGTGGCAATGTGTCTTTATCTGTCATTGTAGTTTTTTATGCAGCACATTGAAAAATAGGTTTTGCATTGACATGTAGTTAGGCTAATTGGTGATTTTCAGTTGCCCATTGTGTGTGTGCATGTGTGTCTGTGTGGCCTGTGATGGACTGGCATCCCGTCCAGGCTGTACCCCAGCCCCGTGCCCTGTGATGGACTGGCATCCTGTCCAGGCTGTACCCCAGCCCCGTGCCCTGTGCCACCTGAGGCTCCAGGCCCCCTCAACTCTGACTGGGCTAAGCAGCTGGAAGATGGATGGGTGGTTATTAATGATCTGTGACTCACCTGTACTTCCTGGGATAAGCTTTACTGGGCTATACTGGATAACCGGTTGGTTGGATACATTCAGGTAGCATTCAGGGACACTTGCATTTAGAGTTCTTGTTTTTGCTTGTCTGGTTTGATCTTTAAAGAGTATGATCTTGGGTCTGTTTCTGCATAGTAATTGCAAATTTTGCACGCTAAAGTATATTCCTTATATGTAGAAGTATGTGATTCTGATTGCAAAGTTGTGATCCTATAGCTTTAATTAGTTCTCATTTTACAGTCTGTATTTCAGGGAAAAGGGGCCCACTTGGTAGAGTTTACTTAAAGTAGGTTTAGGGTATTTTTGGTACGGTTTTGGTGAGAGCTCATGCTTTCTCCCTAAGGGTGCTATTAAAATAAAATAAAATGAATGTGGAAGTCAAATGTTATCTAGCTAAGCTATCTAATTGATTTGTTTGTCAAAATACAAAAAACTTCACTGGCTGTTGAAATTGATATACGTTAAAATGGGTAGTGGTGTACTGTTCTAACAGGGATAAACATGAAAAGGAGAGCCAGCGTAATGAGATTTGTCACACTGGATTTGGTGATGGGAGCCGTGCTAAGCCCTGTTTAGATAAATAGCATACTTTTGTTTAATAATCTGGCAACAACAAGCTTAGTGTTTGGGGAATTGACTGTCAGTTATAAGTGTTATACAAATACTGTCAGTTGTACAGTGTGCGTGTGTGTGCGTGTGCATAAGGATAGGTATACCTGACATGTGTGTGTGTGTATAGTCCATGTTGTAAAAGATCTGCTCTCCTGAGGGAAGATGGAAATGTTACATTTCTTTAGTCTAAAGTATTGTAAAGGGAAACTTATCCAAGTACACTAAATCCTCAGTGGACAGATAAGGGTCAGTCTAATGGAGTTTTAGGGCTGACTCAAAAAAAACTTCAAACAGTTAGAAAAGCAGTTAGTATGAAATTTGACTCCATAGTGACTTATGCAATAAAAAATAATTTTAGTATAGTTGTTTCTTGTGTTTACATGTGTTTCTTGTACTACTTATCAAACTGTATTTTATGGTTTGGTGAATATTTCCTTTTGCTGTGCTGTTTCATAAATAATCTTTGTTACAGTGAAAAATTTCGTTCATTATCGCATGTATTAATCTCACTAAAGAAAACCAGATGCACCACATCTGTGAAAAACAAACAAAAAACAACTCTACAGAAGAGTTCAGAATACTTCTTTCAATTTACAGACGAAACAATTGTTTGACAAAATATGCAGTCTTGGGCATTTTTTTTTCTTTGATCCTTATGTGCTTTGAGTGCATTAAACCTGTACTCTCAAGTGAATTTTTGGCTCAGTTGCCATCATTTTCATGTTTTTGTTTTGTAAACAAATCCAATTTGCCAAATGAAACTGTAATCTGAAACAGTGCTTTCCCAATGTCTTTGGATTGCAAACACATGCTCACTCAAGATTAATAAAATACCTCACATATCTCTCTTCAGATCTGCTCAGGAACATGACACTCTTTTTTTCAATAATTTCCATATGCTTTGAACTGTCAATATTTTAACAATCAGTTCCATTTCTCCTGAATTGTTTTTAACCATCTTATTTAAACAAGAAGTAATAAACTGTGCTTTGTCAGCTGATTGCAATGTTACGTAATTTTGTGAGGTGTTATTTATTTGTTTGTTTGTTTGCCTATCCCTACAGGCGCAGTACAGGGAACAATCCAGGAGGTGGCGCCAATCCATTGCAGAGCACCTGCCAGTTATAGTTATCAGCATTACCAATAATACTGATGGCTATAATTCCTGATGCTAATTTGAGGGCTGTATATTCCATGTATCTACCCAGTACGAAGACACTAACCCAGTTCACTTCGACCTGTCACGGTCATTTTTCACCTGCACTAAATAAATCTTGGACTAAATGTGTTAAATCTATTTTTTGTTAAAGCACTTTTCTTTTCTTAATGGAATTGCCTTTTAGCTTGGAATACAGCATGACAGACCAGTAATGTGCCTAAATTGTGTTTTTTATGTTTGATTGTTTTCTGTCTGTGTATTCTAATACTGCCCGTAATTACAATATTCAATTTGCAGCAAGTTTTTAAATCTATGATTTTTTTCAGTTGTTTACTTTTTACTTTTCATATGTCTACTATATTTTGTAATATATGGAAAATATTTACTTGATTCATTCCAGAAATGCACTGTTACAAACACAATAAAATGAAAGTAAATTTAACTTATTTAAACTTAAAAACAAATAAGAACTGGTCCAACATTCTGGACAGTTCCAAAACAAGTCTTATAAAATAAGTTTTTTAGTCTTCTGTGCTCTGGATTAAGAGCGTCAAGACTCACAAAAGTATTAAAACTAGACAAAGTGGGCTTTGCAAAAGCAGAGATTTAAAATTTTATATAACAAAAGAATTGGTATTTCTGAACTATTTCACTGAAGAGAAAGCAGGGTAAGTAAAAAGGGCATTTCCGTGACAGCGCTGTTCCATCCCTGTGTAATCAGCTGTTTCTGGTTGTTAAAGTATTTTGGGTGAATTAAGCAAGCGTCCCCAGACTTCCTGTGAGCTCTGTATAACTTTATCATTAGGGCCCACCGGGGTCTTTCGACTTCCTTCGTCTGCTGATGGCTGACATCCGCAATGACATCGCTGAGCTCCACAGCAAAGTGTTTGGCCAGCGGGTGCCCTTATCAGGAGAGGAGTTCACCACCTTGAGCCCCAAAAGCTGAAAGGACAGACAGGATGCCATAGGTGTAGGGTCTGGAGAGGACTACAGGCAGCAGGGGGCGCTAAAGATCAAGCACAGGAAGCTCATTTTAAACCATAATAAACCCATGATAGATATGGCTATGATTGTTATTAAAGTAAAGCTGGCAACGTATCAAAATCCATGTCGCTGTAAATACTTTAGAATATCTTTGCGTGTTATATTTAATTGAATCCATCCAAATATTTCTTATGCAATTTTTTTGTAGTATATGTTTTGTCCCGTGTGTATTGTCTACTGGAATAAAAATGTATAACCAGTACCAAAACATTGTATAAATTATCTGTCTCCCTGCAAGCTCCTGTTTTTAACAATATAAGGAAAGGTACAACCAGCATAAAAACCCTGTCCGAGGCAGGTCTGAAGGCAAATACACTGGTATAATGCCAGGTTAGAGAAGTACTTTGCGTACCCTATTATTTACTTCAGGGTTTACTTGTATTTATTAATTTATTCATTCAGTAGAGTCCCTCATTGGTGCAGGGGTATGATTCCTGCCTCCGGTACCAAAGGCCCTGGGTTCGAATTGCCGGTAGTCATATTCCCAATGTGATATAACAGTTAAATATTTGGGGAGGCTAAGCCTGTGTGCCTACAATCAGAAGGTTGCCAATTCAAACCCAGCCTCAGCATGTCCTTGAACAAGGCCCTTAACCCCCAGCTCCCTGGGCCCCCCAACAAGTGGCTGACCTTTGTGGACAGCTTACTCTACAAAGAGCAAGTTGAGGGAGGTGTAAAGAAACAATTTCCCCACAGGGATCAATAAAGTATCAATTATTATTAAACAAATGTAATATTAAAAGGATTAAAAAATAAATAACAAAAATGCCCTGCGTGTGGGCTGGGTTATTCCCTGCCTTGTGCCCATAGCTTTCGGGATACGCTCCAGACCCCCGGTGACTCTGAATAGGGCATGCGGTTACAGAAAATGGATGGATGGATGGATAATCGCAAAAAGTAAGAAAACTCAATCAATACTTGACAAGTGCAAATATTGGGACACAACAATATTTGTAAATTGATTCTGTTATCATTTTGTGTGGTGTATAATCAAAGGTACCATTTTTGCATGCTTAATGTATGCAGTCCGACATCCAAGTTTGAACATTAACGGGCTAATATCATCTTATTTTAAGATACTCTTAAAACACCTTAAAATTACAAATAGAAAACTGTATCAATCTTGGGGAAAACTGCATTGATTAAATATTGCATTCTTGTTTTTTTAGGTATTTTGCATGTGATACAACCTAGGCATAAATTCATGTGCGCAATGAATTTTTATTTCGTAGTAAGTCTAAGACTGCTAAGATGTTTGATCATCAAACTTTAATAGGAACCATGTACAATGCTGGGAAAAACCATTCATGCAATTCCAATGATTTGCCACTAGGTGTTACCATATTTTCTGCAATGGTTGCAATTTTTTCTTGATCGTGATGGTCTTTGGAATAATGGAAGACTATTATCGACATTGACAGTGTGTGTGTGTGTGTGGGGGGGGGGGAATTGTTTGAATAATAAGCAAGACTAAGACATTTTCGTTAGAATCATTCGAAGTTTTTTAAAAAAAAAAGCATGGGTGTATGTCAATGACACAACTTTCTGACTTCTTTCTTATGATATCCACCTGTATTAGACATTTAAAAGCAAAACATTGCCTGTAGAGTTATTTAATGTACAAACAAGAACACAATAAGTGATATGAATCTTCACATTAAGTGTTATTTTCCTGTATAACACCATATTCCAGAATTACAGAAATAATCAAAAATCACTTCCACTATAATACATAATTTTGTCCAATATTATTCTTGCCATGTAAGCAATGAAGAAGATATCAACAGTTAGAAAAAAAACGAATTGGCCAAACAAATCACATACTATTACATCATAATTTAACACAGGCTTCATTTATTTACATCTGCAAGCCTTTTAAAATATATATGAAAATGCACATTTTATCATAGCTTAATTAACACAAAATGCACAATAATTTATTCCTTAATAAAAGGTAGTACATCTCAAAACCACTGCACCACCTAAAATGTTTATGTTTTGTTATATATTAATATACATGTTAAAGGGGGTAGTTCATTTCTTGATATATAATCATAATTTAACTAATCATAATCAGACTAATCATAATTCAAAATAATTAATATAACTAAAATACAAATAATTCAAAATAACTGAAAATTCAACTTATGTAAACAAGTGCACTCTGCTAAATGTTATTCTACTGAACACCAGTTATCATTAGTTAAAAAAAAAATCAGTGCCACTTTACAATAAGACTACTATTATACAGAGTTTACCTCAGGATATTAATTGGTTTGAAAATGTATACTTGAATCATTTTTAAATTACTTTATTCAGCAGAAGATTTTCTTTTCTGAAGTGAGCATCACATTTACGTCTTCAAGTCCCCATTAATGACCACGAGACATCCCAAACACGCTGACTCAGCAAGAGGTATACCATACTTTTTTGTTTCAGTGACATTCCAGTCACGCTGACAGTGAAACAATATTATCGACATTGACTCGGTAAACTGACATAATTTGCAGATTGCATAATTTAAAAGGTCCTCTGAAAAAAGGGCTAAAGAAGTTGGCAAGATATTTCGGTGGAACACCATCTGGAAGTAATTAATCCACAGCATACATAGGCCAGTCTTAAAAGATTTCAAATATTTGCTGAAGTGCCCCTTGTTCCTAATTATATCTCACCGCCTGTATTCCTCATTATTTAGAACTACCCAGTAAAAAAAAATAAAAATGTTCCTCCTTCCTCAAACAGCATCAAATTAATGCTTAATGGCAGAGAATGAATGAGTTACTGTGAGGGAATAAAGACATTAATGAGGTAATTTTATTAGAGAAGCTCATCCAACCTTGGATGAAAGACGGGAGAGTAAATAGAAAGAATCACCATGGAGGAAATTAGGGTTTCACTACGCACTAATTAATGCTTTTAAGGTATTTAGTACAAGCACCAAATTAACTGCCCCAAAAACCTTCATTGAAAAAAAAAATACATTGTTGCCCTCCCACATAATTACAGAACAGTACAAATTCAATTTTAATGAGGTGAAAGCCACCCCTTTAACATATTCTGCCGAAAACTGCTGAAAGCTTGCTCTTGTTGGGGCCTAAGTTTAAGGAAGCATTGAGTGAACAATATGGGATTGTCAGGCCCGAAGTGCTTTGTGTGGTGTAAACAGGCAGGTCCTGAATAGCTCTCCTTCTGAGACTCCTGGGAGGCCCGGCTTCCCAGCACAACAAAACTTGGCACCGAAAAAAGGATCTAGAAAGGAGCCGGAGGTGAATGGTCCCAGTGCAGCTAGCCAGACTGAATGCCTAGTGGTTCTTAAGTGATTACACGATGTCGTACCGCCCCCCTCTCATTGAGTTATCTTTGCACAGGCTTTGTCTCCTCTAATTGGAGCTGATGATGGACTAATTGGTAGCTTTTTTACAAAACATGGCACTTAAGCAATGGCAAGCTGGGGAAGACCGCATGAGTGGAGTTAATGAGAGGCTTTGCACAAATAAAAGCTTTAAAATGGGCCTGTTTTCACAGAAAGGAGGAAAAGAAAGTTGAGGATGGGCTTTGTTTCTTACATCTTTTTCTTACGTGCAGGTATCTCAAAAGGGGAATGAAGCGGTTAGAGAAATGTTGAGCACTGGCTAGGATAATGGAGGCTATTCGCAAATGCTTGGAACCTCCATTTAACATGTCTATAAATAATGAGGCAGAGCAGTTCCTTGGGTGAATGCCTATTAGTCTGCACACACAATGAGACTGCACTTCTCTGCAACACACAGAGAACCATGTTGAACCTTGCAGTCCTTATTCAAACTTGTTTCAGTTTTATGTTTGGCTTTGTTTTGCGGGGATACAGTATGAATGCAAAATATCGACGTATCAAACTAATGTATAGCTATTTAGGTAGTGAGTTTCAATATTGAACCAAAATGTAACATTTATATGTATTGTAATGAACAGCTAGCTACATAGATATGACTGACTATGTTTCAAATATGTTTATTAATGTTTTCAGTGCAGATATTGAGTGTTATAACTCCATGAACGTTCACATGCACGAACGAAGAATAGATTCTATTTTTTACTTATATAAGCAACCAATACTTGTAACAACAAACAGTAAAAATAGCTACATGTTTATTCTAAGTAATGCAATATGGCTTCCAGTCACGTCTATGATGATGCTATTTGTTCTGTGTTTGTTGTGTAAATCACCTGGCAGTGACTGCACCCCATGAGGCATTCAAATGGAGTGAAGCTGCCTTCCTTGAAAGTAGTGGACCACTTTGTATTCTACTTGAATTCTTGTATATTTTCTTTCCCAAAAAAGAAAATAAAAACTGTATACATAGCCATCATTTCTCAATAAAGTCTTTTTTTTTCTTTTTATTATATACAAGCAGCACCGTAATGGCACTTATGAATCTATCACTTGTGTTTTCTTTAGATAGAGTATAATTGCCTGACCAAATATTTGTGTCGGGTCATTTGTAATAGTATTTATCTTCCAAGTGATCCATTAGCTTCCTGGATACCTTATTGTCTACTTTCACAGGCACTATTTGCATTTCTTTTGTAATGAAAATAGCGAGTTTCCTCTTGATGGAGACAATTCTAAATTGACCCCTTGGTGAGACAGCAAAGCTTACAAGTTCTTCTTTCGGTGAAGTCAGGTTACATTTAGGAGGAAGTTATTCATGTTGTTGATTAAAAACATCAGACCACCTAAAACACTGTTTGTGCTCCCCCCCCCCCCCCCCCCCCGCCCCCACAACACTGTAATCAATCAAAATGCATTCACCCCAGAAACATAACATAACGGTGAGGCGCAAAGCTAAATGTAAGATGACTAAAGCAGTATTCTGGATTCTATGATGAAATGATTTCAATGTTGGGAACTTTGTGAAGCACTTTCCTGGGCACTGATAAATAACCTGAAGTGCTATTTGCCTAACAAACTTATTATATTTACCATATGGAACAAAAGTATCACAAATACACATTTTGCATGTTTTTGCAAATTAAAATAATGATAATGATATAATCAATCCATAAAATAAGTCAACATTGCACAGTATTCCCTCCCTATTCTGTCTATTCAGTCGCACAATTTAAAAAAAAACAAAACATCATCAAGAAGAGTAGAGTTAATGCTGAAGTTAAATTTCCTCAGAGAGGGCAGTACTACAGGCCAGTTCTCAAAAGCCTTCGCAGGAAGTAGGGAAAGTGATTGATAGAGATATTGTTTAGAACCATTATCACGCTGTGGGTGACTGGGCTGAGAGAGTCGCTGTTAAGGATCATGTCAGCTAAACCTTCATTCAGCAGTGAGCCATTCCAGATTACACACATTTCTGGTAAAAAAAAAAAAAATAATCTCTCTCATGATTTAACAGAAATTAGAAAAAGCCAATTAATTAATGCCATAGTTAGCCTGTATAATTATATAAATTCTATCATTAATTTTGTCTTCCTAAAATCAATGCAGTGATATCATAAGTACCTAGACTAGTACCTAGGAAGTTGTCTAGAGTGTGAAACAGACATTCTGTGTAGTTACTACATTTAATCCATTAAAGTATAAAGAACTTTATATATGGATATACTGTCGAAAAGTACAATAATCTTGCTAAATATCTGTAAACCTGTATTAACTATATTAATGTATACATTGTTCTGTGACTGTGACCAGTAAATGTAAGATGTTGTTTGTATGGTTGTATAGATAAATACAGAGAAACTTAATTGATCCTGAAAAAGTTTTTAGAAGAAACTTGTATATATGGCATCATAACCATACAGGTTATGATGCCATAACATTTTATAACATTTTTATCTTGAATATAATCACAAATATTTTTTCAGATTTTGATTTTTTTTCATATTTAAGTTTCTAATATTAGTATTATTCGTGCATGCATTCAAATTATCCACCCAAATTTACTTCACTGTTATAGCAACACACATACAACACAAAAGTGTTAGGCAGTCAAAGAAAATGATTTATAAAAGATCTTCATGTTTGTGTAAACCTGATAGAATGTATGTTAAAGGGTATTAAATTAGCCATTTCAAAACCTGCCCTGAAGTGATCCCAGTACTTGCAGCAACCAACACGCCACTGTATTTTTGGACTGGCGCACCAGCATGTTTGACCAGGTAAAACCTGGCTGTCTAGACATCACAGACTAGACACCTTAGACTTACTGATCCCCGTAAGGCAGACAAGGGACAACTGGGAGGGGCTTGGAGCTGGTCAGGCTTACATAGTGTTACAGTAACCCCCCCCCCCCCCCCCCATACACACACATACACACACTTGCCAAATCTGATCAGGAAATACCAGAATAATTTCGCTTTTTAAAATGCAGACTGTCCCCGACTTACAACTGGCTTACGTTCCGACAGGCAGGTCATCCGTCTAAATGAACATGCAGTATGTCGGATTAGGATAATCAAACTGCCTTTTAGGTATGGAAATGAGACTGGGAGATGCATTTGAGGCTGGAATGGTTGTGCTGTGATACAGTACAGTATATTCCCCCTGCAACTATCATCTCTTCCCTAGCTCTATGTATGGGAGTGGTATATGTGCCCAGCAATGGGTGGGTGCCCCACCCTGGCTTATTCCCTGCCATACATCCCCAGCTTCTGGGATTGGTGCCAGACCGCTGCGAACTTCCATAGGACAAGCGAGTGCATAAGTATTTGTCCCCTCAGACAATTCCACATTTCATAGTGTTATAATCTGGAATGAAAATGTATTTATGGACTTTGACCATCTGATTTCCATGGCAACCTTAAGACTTTAAGAAAGTATTCTTGACACTAAATTTAAGTGAACAAGCAAAAAAAAAACTACAGATATTTGTTCCTTGCTTCACCTCCCAAGTCAATAGTTGGTAGAACCAATGTTGGCTCCATTTACAGCTGCAAGTCTTTTATGTTTCTATCCTGCATTTTTTGCCCATTCTTGGCAAAATTGTTCAAGGTCTAACAAGTTGATAAATCCTTTATTGGCCATTTGCACATGTACATTGGGATGCTTCTCCTTGCCTACGCCATATTGCTCTCCATAAGGCTCGAGGGTCACAGGGTTAAGGGCCTTGCTCAGGGACCCTGTTCACAGGCCCACAGACATGGGCCTGTTTTGCCGAGACTTAGAAGCAAAGAACTTCCAATCACTGGCACAGAGACTTTGCCCACTGGGCCTCCTCTCGTTTGTAAATTTCTTATGTTCTTATGTTCATCTTGGCTAGATGGGAACCATTGGTAAGCAGCCACAATTGTGCCATGTCCTTCCCATCCTTAATAATGGATTTAACAGTGCTCTGGGGGACATTCATTGGTAGATTTTCTTTTTATAACCCAAATGTGACTGGTGCTTGCTATGCTCTTGTTCAGGTACCTTAACAGTCTTCATGATGCTGTTTGCTCATATATATATTTCTCTAAGACACTCGGGGCCTCAGAGAAGCAGTTTCCATGTGGTTTCATGTAACACCTTATCTGCTTGCAGGTGGACTCCATTCAACTGTGTGACTTCTTGAAAGCAAATGGTTGCATGAAAACTAATTTCGAGGCACAGCAAAGACTATGTGAAAACACTTTATTTCCCACTTAGGAACTATTTTTGTAGCACTGTGACATACAACCCTTGCTGACAAAAGATATATGAGATATATATATTATTGAGAAGGAAAAATATGCAACACGTTTATGTACATTTTAAGCATTGTAATATTAGGTAGGTGCACAGTAAGTCAGTTACTGCAATAAATGTACAAACATTTTAACCACTAAAGACAGGAGCAAATATGAACAATAGAGATATTGTTTAGAACCATTACCATTGTTGCAGATTGCAGGTATAAATGAATAAAGATATTGATCTGCCTTAATCACGTTCTCTGGTTCCATTATTCACTACTACGTACCTTGCAGGCCTTCTTGATAAGTTATGAATGATGGATGGGTCGTTCTATTCTAGCTCGGTCTGGTGCCTTTAGCAAAACTCGATACCATAAAAACGAGAATATCTGCGCACAACTAACTTATTTATCTAGTCGTGTAACGGGTTCCTCCCATATCGCAGATCGAGTGGAGAACCTAGAGTCCTAGACACGCAATTACACCGAAGGCTGACAGCCGTCCAATGAGAAAGCGCCCTGTTGGCTGTCCTAGAATTCCCGTCATGCTCTCGGCCCAGCGCTACGTCAGCAAAAGAACCGAATGATGGCGGTGTCCATAGGAAAGCGCTCGACTGCTGCTACCTCCTTATTAATATCATTTTTAATATTTCATACGTCTAATGCGGATATTCCTGCAGCAGTTGCAGAATCGGCGGAGGCTCCTCACCGGCGCTTTGAATATAAATATAGTTTCAAAGGACCGTATCTTACTCAAAGTGACGGCACTATTCCTTTTTGGGTCCATACTGGAAGTAAGTTATCATTAAAAAGCTTTTTGGTGGTTAGTGGTTTCTTTCTGCGGTTATTAACATTGTTATATTATAAAGTTGCAGGGACTGGATTATTGTATAACCATGGTAATGTAGCTCGTTATACTTTCAAGAAATTCTCTGCAAATTAAAAAATATATATGCCAAATCTCACCTTTTTTGCATATTTTGAATTTTGCATTAATATTATCTAAGTGTTGGCTTCACTGGGAATTAAATCCAGGGAACGATCGTGGGTTGTTGTCGAAGAATATGTATAAATTGCATGCTGCAATAAATGTTGAAATATTTGTTGCAGCATGCAATTAAATATTGTTTTGTTGGATTTTTTTCTTATTTTGATTTGAAGAAAAATAGTCTAGTGTTCAGCTGTTTGTTATTGTATCTTATATGATGAATAAAATAAAGCTTCGTAGTTCGTGATTTCCTTTCGTTATCAACCTGATAAAGTCTGTAGTTCATCTTACTGCTTATGCCTGCTTATTCAAACCGAGCAAAAAGGTAAATCGCACCTTGGGTACGGTGAATATTTGTGATATCATGAATATAGGTATGCTTGGATTTCTCAATGAAGCACTGATTGAGACAGTTGCTAAACATAACTGTTATCAAAGTAGCCAGACCTATCTTGCTGGCATATAATATCAATATGAAATGGTACAAAGACAGTTCCAACAACCAGTACAAAGGGCATTGGAGCAGCGTGCTCAGATCTTCCTTTTGCTTGACCATTATTTTATCTTTTAGTTTTGCTGTAAACATAAGAGCAAACAATTAGATGAATTTTCACTCTTTCACATTAATGTTGAAATGTTAGAAAATGGCCTGTTTTAATCTAGGTTTATTTTTAAAGGTGTTTTTTTTTTGTGTATTTAAAATTATTTTAAATAAAGTTTTCGTTCTCAGTTTTTTAAATTAATATACTTTACAATGAATCGGAACCTACACATCTTTTGATTGAAGCTACCTGCTTTGAAAATGATTTGTAGTCAAACTGTAAAAAAAGGTACTGTATATACAGGAGTTGCTAATGGAGCAGAGAAAAATAAAAGTCATTTTTATTTGTAAATTTAAACAATAGTCATAAATACTTTTGCATTCCAGATGCCATTCCCAGTGCTGATCAGGTTAGAATCACAACATCTTTGAGAAGCCAGAGGGGATCGGTATGGACAAAAAATACGGTGAACTTTGCTAACTGGGAAGCGGAAGTGACATTCAGGGTGTCTGGACGGGGCAGGATGGGAGCAGATGGACTGGTGAGTGGAGGCTGTGGTGATTGGTACCCTTTGATGGTCGTGTCAGACTTGACCTACATTACTGGGCTCTTCCCACAGGCTATCTGGTTCACGGAAGGACAGGGCCTTGAGGGACCCGTCTATGGTGCTGCTGATTCTTGGAACGGAGTTGGAATTTTCTTTGACTCCTTTGACAATGATGGAAAGGTATGTGATGTGTCATATGCTGGTAGAAAACTGGTGTGGGGTGTCTTAAGCACGCTTACTACAAAGATCGTTAAATGTACTAAAAACCAAAGGGACCATGCCAAGTGCGAGTAATTCTGCAATGGCTGGTGTCTGATTCTGAATTTGTTACCGTGATAGAAGAAGGGGGGTGGTGATGATGGGGAGGGGGGGGATAGGTGGATAGGCACACCAAATTATATGCACATGGTAAACCTGGAACAGGTGGACTACAAGCTTCTCCTTACAGGCATGGAGATGGAGCCCAAATTTTGCAGTAACACTGGCCCAGCACTGACTAAATACTCAGGTGCTTCTCCAGCTAACCAGCTAAATAACTGTGTAGCTGTGTCCAGATAACATACGAAATTAAATGCTATCCTGCATGAGTAGTTGAGTTTGTACAGTAATATTGCTTTAAAGCAATTTAAAAAAAAAAAAACTTAATTGAGACAAGTTTCTTGGATTTGTTGACATAGGCCCTGTTCACACCCGGTATTAACATGCATCCTGGGTGATCTGATCACAAGCAGGTAACGCGAAATACACCCAACATTGACATGCATCTTGACCAACTGGTTGTAATCGGATTTCACTTTGCCGCAACTTATTTAAATAAGCACCTAAATCACTTCTGTATGCAAAATCTGCCGAACATTAAAAGTAGTAGAAGCAGCAATCAAAAGCTGTTGGCCTATTTCAGTGTAAACAAACCGCCTAAGATGTTTGTCTGGAATGCCATAATACTGAAAAATAAATAATTAAATATATCTATATGTAAATAAATGGCTGAAAAAAATATTTTAATAATGAATATGTCCTTTTATTTTAAAATCATTCCATAAAAGGTTTTATATTTTATAACGTTTGTCGTCTGTGTATAATCTTTAAATTGCATTTTGTAATTACATTGTGATTTTTATTGGACAGTCATTTTAAAATATTATTTCACATAATGCAAATGTGATTACTTAAATTATTTAAACTGTATTCCACAATAAAGTTCAACTTTTCATGTTGCAGACAGCTTTGACATATGGAAGTTTCATGAAAGCGCGCACTAAATATATGATCTGTGCAAATTCCAAAACATCTTCAATAAATCAGTTCTTACACAATTTATTTTTCCCAAATTTGCACGTAACATTAGTGATGCGCACTTTAACAAAGTTTCCATGCGAATTAGTTGCGACAGTCTGATGTTAAACCAGCTTCCCAGCAGATTCAGACTTAATCTTTGTTTTTGTAGGGAAGAAGACGTGTTGTTCACAATGCAGTTTACTAAAGTGGCCCATTCTTCACTGACAGACGTTTTGACATAAATTATGCAGTATGTCTAATACTACTTGCGTGTTTAATGAGTGCGTACATGCTTCCACTCACAGGAGGACATCAGTTGAGTAGGTGATCTTTCAATGCGGCCCAGGACTCATTCGCGTTCACACTGCTGTAAGAATCTCGCCATATGCGGCTTGAATGTGGTCTGAGCGATCGGATCTCAATGCATCGTCAATGCATTTTGGGTGCATTCATACCTGTAATTAGCGCTGTCCAGTTGTGATCGGATCACCCAGGACGCATGTTGACACCAGGTGTGAGCAGGGTCTTAACCCGTTAATACACAGTATCCAACTAGAGATTTACAAACATTTCTTTGTCTGGTTCCTATTGTAAAACGGGGAGCTTTGTACTGTTCTTTTCGGAGAGACGCAGTAGAATTCTGTGTAGAATGCACAGAACAGTTCCTGTGAAGTCTTGTGGGTGTGGTCACCACATATTTAACAATACAACATTGACATAATGGTTGATTTTTGCGTTATGTGCCTTATAGTTATGAATTGTTACGTTTTTAAAAATTTCAGCAATATCAAGTTTAATTTCCAAAAGATCATATAATCAAGAAGTTGAAGGCTTTTAAGTTAATTTTAGTTTACAATATGTAAACAGTAATATAAGAAAGTAAGCTATTTTTAACTCATTTGGCTTGAATAAAAAAAAAAAAACTTGCTATCTCGTTAGAAAAATTGCAGTTGTATCACAGGTGTCTGGTGGTAAGCTTGTAACTGGTCACTATTGCAGTGATCTTTTTATTCATTTTTTTTCTTTCAGAAAAACAACCCTGCAATTATCGTTGTTGGAAACAATGGTAAATTCATGTACGACCACCCCAAGTAAGTTAACTTTTTAATCTCTAACTTTTATCTGCAAGTGTTTTACTAGTTAAGAAAACTTTGCCTAATGGATAAGTTAAGTGAATTCCATGAATTCTGTTTTGTCTGCTCAGGCCATAACTTTAGGGTGTATGTGTTTTCTATGGTATTCTTTGCATTTTTTCAAAATTTTCTTGTACATGAACAGTGATGGAACAACTCAAGGTCTTGGATCATGCTTAAGGGACTTCCGAAATAAACCCTACCCAGTCAGAGCAAAAATCACGTACTACAAGATGTCATTGACTGTAAGTAATTTCAGTATTTTATAAAGTACACAGGAGTAAATGGAATGTTGTTCTTTTTTATTAAGCGATTTTTATATTAGATACTGGGTGACATGATTATGAGCATTCATATTGTAATCGATTTGAATATTGTATCGTGGTATAGTTTAAAAACTTGTTTTCTTGCGTAATCAATGCTTATGTACTTTTTTATTTTTTACACAAATTCCGTCAAGGTATGAGTCTGTTGCTGGCATAATTTTACGTTATACCTGTCATATGCTCCATAACTGTTAGGAAAACAATGGTCGTCATAATTATAAAAACCATCTTGAGACCATTTTTAGGGCATGTCATCCAGCCCTAGTTAAACCCTTTCCCTGGAAAGAACAGTGAGGCAGTCAGAGAAAAAAACCTAGCAACAAAATATAGTGAAGGTGTTTTCTATTGTTACGCGCTACGAGACAAAATTTTAGATTTCACTTTGCAATCCATTCAATTTGTCACCATTGTTTTGTTTTGTTCTGAATCTGTTTAAGGGTAATTATAAGGGAATTTTAAGCAAAAATTGGGCAATTGAGGTGAAGAAACAACGACAGGAATTTTATTGTGAAAATCGATATCGTTTCATATGAAAAATGTATCATGATAAAATATTTCGCCATACCACCCAGTCCTAGTTTGTGTGTTATGCTGTCTTTATTGATTGCTTGAATTAATAGCTGTCACTTCCTTCCCTCCCCCTC